TCAAGAACTTGAACTAGAACTTCTTGCACCTTCACTTTCACTTTCTCTTCTCCTTTTCCTGCCACAACTATTCGGCTTAGGATCACACAGTCCAGCCTCCAAAGGAAAATTCAATATAGCTTTCCTACCTCTCATTCTGAAAGCAGCAGAATCATAAGCTTTTGCAGCATCGATTTCACTATCAAATGTACCTAACCAAACCCTACTTCCTTTCCTTGACGGATCACGTATCTCAGCTGCAAACTTCCCCCACGGCCTTCTCCTTACTCCCCTATACCTCCTTGTCTCATCAACAATCTCTTCTTCTTTCTTCATCTTCTTTGATGACACAATAGTATGTGGTATTGGTAGTACTACTTCAGGTGATGAACTGGTTTCCTTTGAAGGGCTTGTTTGATGACTTGGAGATGAAGTGTGCGTAAAGAACTCCATGTCTGATGTCAAATCATAGCCTTCAAGGAAAGTGAAGAAGGTGGTGGTGTCTGAGATATAGGAAGAGAAATCAAAATCTGAGGAAGGGTTTTCAAGTTTAACAGGATGGAGAAAAGGGTCAGAGATGGTGTCACCTAAGAGATGATGGCGTATGAGATCTATGTTTGAAGTTTCTTTTGCTCTTGTCATGACTTTAGGAAATGAAGAAAAAACATGTGATTGAAATTTGAGGTTGAAAAATAGTTGCAGCCAAAGGTTGTTTTTTATATGGATTTTGTGGTTACTGTGAAAGGGTCCCCTCATATATTAGAAGTCTAACAGGTCATCTCATCTGTAAGGCAACCACTAGGGTGGACCATGGAGTTTTATAATATTAATATATGGTCCACCAATAACCACTTGTGTAGTGTATGAGTGTAGCAACAAGTCATGCTTTGTTAAAAAGAAAAAAGAAAAAAGAAAAAAGGGTTTATTTGGAGGGGTTTATTACTAATAATTAATAATATCAATAACTAAAGTTATAAAAAATAAATAAATAACTTATTATCTAGATGTACTCTGACAAATGTCTTGCATTTCGTTGGGCTGTGGTCGATATCATTGCACTTTTCGAATTAATTCTAATTGTTTGTCATCTTGGTCATGAGTATGTTCAAGAATGACGCGAAGATTATTTTTTGATAACTTTAGTTATTGATGATTTTTAATGTTGTCTCCTTAGATGAAGATTTAAGTGTAATATGAGATATTTGATGATCATTATGTTAATGAAATTTTTTAGGTTCATGTATGATTTCTTTAAAGGATAGATTTCTTCGAATTTATATGAATGATTTTTTATATATGTAATATCGTCTTTTATAGGATTATTACCTAAACCAAATTAAAGAACATTATTCTTCATTCACTAAGCCGTCCACCTAGAACATCACTAATTACCACTTCAACCACCGACCATCATCTATCACCACTCCACACTTCTGATCACCAACGCATACACTATTGATTATTATTTTGGTAACCATTTTGACCATTAGAAACCCCATTATCAACCACTATCATAACCACTATTATCCACCACTTTGATCACTTTCAATCACCACTCTATCTACTTTCAATCACCATTACAATCTTTGACGGCTATTCTAAATATCACTTTGAACATTGACAACCAGCCCTTTTAAATAATATCGATTAATTTAGTCACTATCCACAACCACTATCACTAATAACTAGTTTTTACAATAAGAGTCGTCTAATTAAAATCACCATGGTCAATTATTATTATTTCATCTGTCTTACAATATGTGTCATCTTTTATATTTTTATTTGTCTTAAACTATTTTCAAACTATTTGTCCTAATATAATATCAATGTAAATTTATTATTTTTTTTCTACTAATTTATTTTTATTTATTATATTTTAATTCATATAACTACTCCATTAATATAAATAATCATTATTTTTAAAAATGTGAAATCTCAAAAATAAAATAAAAAATTTAATACGAGACCGAGGGAGTATATTTTTTTAATAATGTAGTTACTATTATTTGAATTACTTATAATAAATATATTATTTTCGTATTTTCTTTTTAAAATTAATGATATATTTTTAAATTTTCATAATTTAAAACAAATCGATTTTAGTTTTAAAAACACAAAACCTAGATTCATTTGTTAATTTTTTATAACCCTTATATTTAATTAATCCTACACTACAAATAGAAGAAAACAAACAATATGTACGGCCTTTTAATCTGACCACTTGGTGGTATAATTCAATAAAACAAAGGACGGTGGGTCCCACGTTCATCAGTGAGACACATCATAATTAATTGATGGCTAACTTTACACACCAGAAAGAAGTTATTGATGTATCAATTTTTCAATATTATTTTAATTTTCTTAATTATTTGTATTTATCTATTGTTTTAATAAAGCTGTCTTTATCCTTTAAAATATTAAGATGATATTTTATAAATAGCTAGTAATATTATTGGACGCATCTACTTAACAAAAGAAGAGATATTATTTAATAATAATTTAACCTTATAAATAAATATTTATGAAATTTTATTTAACTATAATTTAGCTTTAAGATTTTGAAACTCTTTATAATAATCTGCCTTTTATATTTTTAAAAATAATTTTACTTAATTCTTAGTTTTTGATTAAATAGTATTACGGTCGAAATTCAAATCCGCATTTATGTATTTGATATCTTTATACTGATTTTTTTATTCAAATAACTTAGTTTTTAAAAAATATATTCAAAATATTTTATTTTTTAAAAAAAATTCTAAAGTACTCTGGTCAGGGTTTCTGATTATCTAATGGCATCATTCCAATTGACAATCATTTGTTAAGGTTATAAGGGTGTCGCTAATTGGATTGGAGACACCTCATGCAGTCTCCAATCCAATATTTGTGTCAGTGCAACTGTGAGGTGGCTCTATGGAAGCTATCTTTCAAGAATCGCTTCTCTTTCTGTAAGACGCAGCAAGCCGAAACATGCAAAGTGGATTACGAAAAATAATGACATACCTTCTCGAATCAGTTCGGTGTACATTGAAATCAACAGAGTTATCCATGTGATTGTTTTTAATGGCTCGTACACAATCCTCTTTGGTACGAAACTGGTCTCCCACTTTCAATTCATTCTCTAACCGCATATACAGGTTGTGAAACATATCTGCGGATCTCTCATCGTCTTGCAAGTCCAAATCTGTCATATGTTGAGGTGGACATTATACATGACCTGGAGGTATTGGCACTTGCTCGTCATCTTCAACGTTGTTGTTCAATAGTTGATCGACCAACATCTCGCTTCCTTCTTCTTCATCAATGACGTTGACTTCCGGTTCGGTTTCATCTGAGTATTCTAATTCGGTTTCATCTGAGTCTACACCTGTTGATTGATCGATGATCTGAAATTGTTGAGATGGAATATTTTGTTGGAGGAATGTATACAACTCAATATAGTTGAAACTAGAATGTTTGTGACTAACGAATATATTTTCATCATCTTCGTCATCTCGCACTTTAAGTGGATAAAATTTAACGTGGTTGGTTTAAAAAAAAACTGGGTTTTGAAATATTATTTGTGCTATAGGACCAAGCCCTAATTTCGATTACAATCTTTTTTTGAAATGCAAGAAACTTGTGTTTCTATTGATTGTGAATCAGACAATATCGGTGTTTTGAAAACCAAACTCAGATACATCGGAGACATATGTCTCTCCATTGCAGTGGGCATTAACAATATATCTCGGTGCATATGACATACTAAAAGAACTTGTTAGAGACTTACTAATTTTGCTTGTTTTGGTTTCTATCTATGTCTGCATGCATGAGAACATATTAATATGCATGGGACACGTACTAGATTCGCCACATGAATTAGTGACATGGTCAAAAGCATTAAATGGAGTTGCCACATGAATTGGCGACAAGGTACAGTCTTTTAGACATTGTGTCTCCATGTGGGTGTCAGCATGTTATGTGTAACACCCCCTTTCTATACCCCAAAATAATCACATATCAAATCATATCGTCACGAATACAAGTATTTTTATTTTCATCAGAGTGTATTTACATTAAGGTATAAAAGAAGTGTGTCACAATACTCACGAAACGACCACATGAATATTAATGTTTAAAAAGAATTAACTCAAAAGGGGTAAATCTCAACTAAAAATAAACGCATGATTCTTCGAAATTACATATTCATGTTTTCTCTTAAAGCGGAAGACTAAAACATATATATATTCACTTAAGACATGACAAAACATAATTACATGTCATCTGGTTGTTCACAACTCCATTCACATACAAACAAAACAACATTAAGACATTCTACAAGCCTATCTACCCAAAGTTATATATATCAGAGCGACCGACACGAGGGAAAAGAGCTATACTCCCAAGGAAACCTCCAGCGAATCCTAATCTGCAATGCCTCGTAGGGCATTATAAAACAACAGAAGGGTGAGAAACATTATCATAATAATCAAGGCATAAGATATATATATATATATATATATATATATATATATATATATATATATATATATATATATATATATATATATATATATATATATATATATATATATATATATATATATATATATATATATATATATATATATATATATATATATATATATATATATATATATATATATATATATATATATACAAGTACCGGATGCCTATACCTCATACTTATTCACTACAATGCATAACAATAGATTCTCACCGCATTAAATACACATAGACATAATCGCTCACACTTAATCGTCTATTCATCAGTCAACGTCTTTCACATTTATTTATTCGCTAACGCATCTCATCAATTCCTGCACATATGCATATTTACATATGACAATCACAATCATACCATACGATTCATATACGACTCATTCACTACCCTCAATCTTTTTTCCGGACTATGGGTACGTCGCTCATGCTCTACTGGGAACAACGTCTCGGTCATTCTACCCCGGTAACTACCTCACTCGGAATGACGCATCGCCGTTCTACCCTGGTGAGTAGAATCTCTCTACATATACATCAACCTCATTCTCATATTTACCAGACGCAATAAATATATATATATAAATATATATATATATATATATATATATATATATATATATATATATATATATATATATATATATATATATATATATATATATATATATATATATATATATATATATATATATATATATATATATATATATATACACACACACACACACATACACTAATGCATTTCCAAGCATTATTTTCAATTCATCATATGAAGATGACAATGCACTCATAGAGACCGACACCTCGACCCTATGCAGCTACAACCACGGTACCGACTCATTCGTCCGTCAGATTCTCTTAGAATTCACTCCTCTCACACTTATACGGTTACACTATAACTCATCAGGTTCTCCTAGGAATCAAATATAACCATCACATCAAGCGAGGTTCTGCAAATCCTCCAAGGGATCAAATATAACCATCGCATCAAGCGAGGTTCTGTAAATCCTCCAAGAGATCAAATATAACCATCGCATCAAGCGAGGTTCTGCAAATCCTCCAAGGGATCAAATATAACCATCGCATCAAGCGAGGTTCTGCAAATCCTCCAAGGGATCAAATATAACCATCGCATCAAGCGAGGT